GTGGATTTTTCCCAGAACGTGTGCGTAGAGTGCMGGTGAGAGTTCGGGAATAAAGAATTGCTGTTTGAATCTACAAGGCTKTGAGTGATTTTGTGCCCAGCCAGACTGCGGCAACCTCCCAATGCCATCAAATCCACTGATGAGTTTGGGAAGTCTCATGATCCAATCACTTCCCCAAAGCCCACAAGTCTTCAAAAAYATGAACCCTAGGGTGTTCATTCTAAATCTAACCCATAACACCAAGTTATTTAGGATAATAAACCCTTATTGTTATAAATGACAGAATGTGCCAGGTGTCAAAAAAGACATTATTTTTTCTGCTAATAAGCATGAAGAAGCAGCAGGCAAGAACCTCAGCTGAAAAACAGAGAATGGATAATAAAAGGTATAAGTAGTAAAAGTAGGCATGGATAATAAAAGTGGAAATGGACAATAATAACAAAGGCAGGTAGGCAGGAAAACATCTAACAGGTCAGAGAATCTGGCYGAGTCAGATTTTTGCAACACTGCAGAATGCATGAGAAGAGTGGTGGAAGGAAAAGTTAAAAAAAAGCGATTTGGTTTGCATTTCTCTGTTTGCTAGAGATGATGAGCATTTTATGCCCAGGAGTACGTACTTCATTCTTGCAGAGAGAGAGAATTTTGATATTACAATGCCTTAGAAGCTTAAATCTAAGGCATCAACTTGTCATTATGCAGACAAGGTAACTGAGTTTCAAGAAGGTTAAGTGGTTTGAAGAGAATCACAAAATTCACAGGTAGAAGTTTAAAATTAATTTACTGCCTCCCAGAAATGGYAGGATTAGGTATATGATTTAGGAAAATTATTTCAATAGCAATTTGCAGCATGAACAAGAAAGAAAAGTAATTACCTATATAGTTTAGGAGTGAAATAAATTAGATATATTGTAACTCCGACATTCTTTTACTAAGGTGCTATAGTAATGTGTTTAAAAATCTTATTYATTTTRATATGCCRGGCTGAATGAATTGTTGACTTAGCCATTAATAATTCCCTACCTTGGCTACAGACTTCACTAAAGGAAAGGAAAAACAACAACAACATCAACAACAAAAATAGACCTATCTTCCCCCAAATTGAGTTTTTGTGCTGACTATATCAGTAACATATATTGCTGCTTACGCCATGTCAATTATTCACGGAGAATGGTGAATCACTGACATGATTTCAACAACTGAGTTAATTTMAACAACTGTGAATGGGAAAAGCAATTTTCCAAAGAAAGTAAACTTCAATGAAACCTATGTTCAAATGTCATTTCTCTAAGAACAACTAAGCATCCAAGATTTTTCTAAGAGTCTACAATATTTCATTGTGTAACTTACATAATGGTTTAAGCTAACACACAATGCTAAGGAAAAACAGCAGAAGCATGTGACCATAAAAAGACAAAGCTGGTTTTCCTGTGTGGTTTGTGGAAAGTAGCCTCATTACTTTATAGTCATACCTTATAATAATCACTAGCASAACCACTCCAAGAGATGCTGAGCTGAATCTATTATACCTAAAATAATAGAGCATAACATAATACTTGTCCTCATTGATGATTACCTTAAAAGGTTTCAATAGAGCTCTATTTTTCTTTTATATATTGTCTGGATCAATCATCCAAGAAATTATCTTAACTTTCTCTGTATCTATATTTTCTAATGGCACTTGCATTGTACTTTTATAGCACCTGCCATGCCTATTATCTCACTTTCTGCTGAGTTTAAATAGTTTATCTATGTCCTGCCATCTAGCTTAATGGCACAATTTATTATTATACCTTGAAGCATTATTTTGAATTGAAAGAAGATTAACATATCTATAACACTGGTCTAAGTTTACTGGAGTTAAATGGGGCTTTGGAAAATCACTTTGTCTTCTTCCTTAAGTAGCACAATGACTAAAGTTTTGCAAGGGCACAGACTATGACCTTGTGTCCCTCAGAGTACCCATACCACACAGGTATTTTTTAAGTTTGCTCAAGTAATGTAATGAACAATGACAAAAGTCCAATTTGGATGCAACCATGAGAAGCTAAATTCACCAGAGCTAATTTGGTCTATCAGGATACCCAGAAATCTACTGTGCAGGTTTGTGTCTCTCTCTCTCTCTCTCTCTCTCTCTCTCGCTCTCGCTCTCGCTCTCTCTTTTTTTTTTTTAAACTGGTCACTTAGATTGTGACATTCCCCAGGCTTCAGTCACAGATCTTCCTTTCACACTGTACACATTCCACCAGATCAGTTATACATTCTTTCAGCTTTAATCTTTCCTAAGTGCATGTGGCTGACAGATCATTTTCTTTGGTTTTGATTTTTTTTCCTAAGCTAAATACTATATCTCATAATGTCTACTAGATATTTCTATTTCTATGTYAGACTAACCTCAACACAAGCTTGGAACAGAAGTCATCATCATCCACCTACACTCTGCTCCTTGTCTTATCAGTAACAAGCCCCACCCAACTACCTAACAGTGAAACCCAGATAAACTGCATTCCCTATTTTTCTTTTATTATTATTATTATTGCATTGCAATTCTTAATACATCATTATACCACAATTTATCATGTCTCTGATTGTATATAAGGTATATTGACACCAAATTCACATCTTCACACATGTATTTTGTATAATGATGACACCCATGTCAAATCAATCACCAACTGCTAGTAATTCAGCCACCAAAAATATGTCTCCAACCTATTTGTTTCTGTCCTTTTTTAATGAGACCATATCTTAGCAGGCATTATCATGACTTAATCAGAATTACTCCTAACTAGTGACTGTACYGTACTCCAGGCAAACTCCCCTCCAATCTACCCTATAGACAGAATGATTTTTCAAAATATTAATTTGCTTAAAAACTCTTGAATGACTTCCTATGATTTCTAAGATAGCATCCAAACTCCTTGTCACTACTTACAAGGTCCTTCAAGAGCCAGAAACTACCTTGTAAATCAATAATATAGTGTGGCAAAATGAATTAATGCACATGGTCTAGGAGCCAGATTGATTGGTCAGTTATGAACTTTCTCATAATAGAGGCAAGTTACTTGATTTCTCTGTTCCTGTTTTCTTATGTGTAAAATGAGAACATCAATGCTTATCCCACAGTGTGGCTGTGAAAGTTAAAGGAGATAAAATACAATATTTGCCATAGTATCTRACACATATGATAACATAGTAAATCCTTAGTAAATATTAACTATTTTTGTCATCTCTTTTTAGTTAATTTCTCACTTCTCTTCATTTGTTTGCTGAGTGACATCTGTAGCAAATATCTTTCATGTCCTCTTCACCTATCACCTCTTCCTTTACATATCTAGTGCCTCTGACTGCAATCTCCCTTCCCAGAACTCTACCCTTCCCATAATTCTTTAGGTCTAATCCCAAATGCTACATTCACTGGAAAGTCCGTCTGGCCTCTGTTGTACCCTGTTAAGAGTCCCCTAAGTGCTCCCCAAGGCCTTGTATTTTCCTTGACGTAGTACTAGTCCCACTTTGTGTAAATTTCTCTTCACTGCTAAATTGTAATTTCTGTGTGAAAAGCAACAGTGTCTATCTTGTTCACAACTGTATTCCAAAAGCATACCTAGGATAGTGCCCAGCATATAGTAGGCAGTTAATAAAGAGTGTACATTTCCTCTCAGATCCAGAGATGCTCCTCCCCAAACTGCGGAAGGTAGAAAAGTAGTGTTCCTATAACCGCTTTCTTCAAATAATCTTCAGAAAAAGTTTCCACAGAACAACAACAACAACAAAAAAACCCGATCTAAAAATCCTGGGAAGGGGGTGGGGATTAAGTAAAGTTGGGGCTCTAAAGCAATACTTTTCAGAATCTTTGTTATACTAAAGTAGGTTGTTAATCTCCAAGTAGGGGGAAAGGGTCTATTTACCAAATATTCTGCAACCAGGGTTCTGCAGATTTAAGTTCCCCTACTAGAACTTCTAAATGCTGGGAGTCACGAGCAGGACATCTCTGGGGTACTTAGTCTGCAGGGTTTGTCACTTTTAGGAAGGAGAGTACTCTCTGGACACAGAAATTAGGAGCTAGAAGGTACACTACTAGTTATCCTTTAACAAAGCTCCTTCTTAAACTGAGGCCACAAAGGGAAAAGCAACTGGTCTACTGCCACACAGCGACTACACACAACAGGAAGAGCTGGAAGTACACTTGCATTTCGTCTCCGTGTCTTCCAGTCCAAATGCCTCTGGCTACCTGGGTCCACCAAGTATTCCCACTTCAAATTTTATTTTTAAGGCATACCAAAGTGAAAGCCATTTCTTCTCGGCCGCCGGTCCCCTTTGGCCTACCATTCCTCACTTCTCTCCCTTCTACAATACACTTTTCCTATAATCCTGTGCAGTAGGGCTTGGCTAGGGGCGACGACAATACCTTTTTTTTTTTTCCTTTAGACTTGTAAACTTCTTCGTGTAGGACAACCAAATCAGGTTGGGCCTCCGCCTAAATCCCCATGGGCGCTGCTCCCTACACTCCCTACTCCCTACACCGTACCCTATCCTACTTCACCCCACCGGTTCCCCTTCCTCTCCCGGACACCGGGGCCCCACTGTTGGTCTTCACCTGGGACTGCCATGACGCTCGTAAGAGGGGTCGTTGAAGCCCTTAGGTTCCGAGAACGCGTTTGCTTCCCGCCGGCTGTGAAGACAACACACAAAGCGACCTCTTGTACCCGCGCCGCGACACCTTTCCGACGGTGGGGAAAAGCCTGATAAGCCTCTGGGGCTGGCGGAACCAAGTAGCCACGGATGCTGTTTCCGGGCGACTAATATTGCAGAACATACGTGGTCTGAACCATTACTGCCAGCTTCGGGAACTATGTGTTTACCTGCACCCTAGTGAAGTGAACACCGCCAGGATTTACGTATTATTTCTTTTTATTTCGTTATAAATAATAATGTCTAATATTATATTAGTATATAACAGCTTTGTAATCATTTTTTGTTTTCTGGAGAACACGGGAGTCCCCCTTCTCATGGTTAGCGGTGCTCGGGTCCAGGAGCAACATGGCGGCGTCCGTGAGGGGCTAGTTTTGAGGCAGGATAGTATTTGGTGTCGCTGTCTTGGGTGACAGTGACCGAGTGGAACTTTTCCTGACAACACAACTTAAGGAATTGTGTTCTGATAGGCGTCCGAATTTAGTGACTGGCTGGCCTCTGGCGTCCTCACTAAGGAGCGGATTCCTGAGCACTGAGCAGGATGAGCAACATCTACATCCAGGAGCCTCCCACGAACGGGAAGGTGAGCACCTCACCTATGGTTCCTGGGTTCCTCAAATGAGATCTGCCCGATAGAGGGGTTCAGGGATCTTAGGGTTGAAAAAAGACCACAGAAACCTAGTTCCTTTCCCTGCCTAAGGACAGTGTTGCATCTAAAACACCAAAGTTGGCACTTCTCAGCATAGGCTTGAAAAAGTCCTGAAGTGGAGATGTCTCTCTCTGTCTGCTTTCTGGCCCGGTTTCCTGCTTTGTCCCAACTCTCGCAGCTGTCTTCTAGCGTCTCCGGGTTTTTAAAGTACAATTTTGAGTTTCATATATTCTTAGCTTAACTTGGAGAGCGATCATTCTCCATTCTCTCTGTACTTACTTATTGAGCACTTGCTAGGGACCGGGCACTATCTTAGCTGTTAACATAGGATAGCTATGGTTTACTTTGACAGGCAGGCAGGTGAAGAAGAACCTTTGGCATGTCTGATAAATGAGCTTTTGGAAAGAAGATTTTTGTCTCTATGGCAGTGATTTAGGAGTAAGCAACTGGGAATGTTGGGGGAAAGAACCATGCAGCAGACATCTATTGAGCTGGTCTTAAAACAAAGTAGTTATCAGAGAAAATGGAGAATGTTACCACATTAGAATGGGAGAGGATTTTCTTTTTCTTTTTTTAATACTTAGTTTTTAGTTTTCGGTGGACACAACATCTTTATTTTATTTTAATGTGGTGCTGAGTATCGAACCCAGCGTCCTGCACATGCCAGACTAGTGCGCTACCGCTTGAGCCACATCCCTAGCCCCAAGGGAGAGGATTTTCTGATAGATTTGATGTCCAAGGCATGAAACTTCCCATCCAGGGTGTTCATGTATCTTTTGATGCAAAGGAGACAATTGTGAAATGTATCACCTGAGTTCTTGAACAGAGACCTAGTCCATATCACATATTAAATGTGATAAACCAGCAAAATGGCAAATATAATGGGATTGGAAGTATGTGGTTGAGGGATTGGGGACACAGTTCAGTAATAGAAGGTTTATTTATCATGCACAAGACCCTGAGTTCAATCCCCAGTAAATACACACACACACACACACACACACACACACACACACACACATGTGTAAAGTTGAATTGAGATAAAACTACATGTATATAAAATGCAATTCTGTTGGTAATTTTATCACAAATCACTTATACAATCTTTTATTCATTGAAATTTGGTAATGTAATCAGGGCAATTTGAAAGTCAAAAACAAAAATGCTATAATTCCCAGCGCCCCCACCAAAAACAATTAGTGGGTATCTGAGGCAAACACTTCTTTGCTGTTTGAACTTTTCCTGGGCATTATAGGTGAGCATCCCCATCCTAATCTCACTCACACCCCACCCCACTTCACATCAGTGTGAAAACTAAAAAACACCTACCTCTTTCTATTTCTAAATGTTTCTTGGGGCCTGTGTTAACACCAAATGGTAAACACTGGTAGAGACTAGATTGCCTGTCTCACCAGGCAGGGCCTTCACAGTTGCTATTCCTCTTTCCGGTGTGCTGTTTTACTGCTCCCATGTCAACCTTAGCAAGAAGGCCTTACTTATCTATTTTCTGTGAAATTGCAAACCTTAATCAGGCCCTGCATCCCATTATCTCTGGCTGTCTTAACTTCTTTATGTTTTTTTTTTCCTACAGTATTTATTATTTGTTTATTGTATTCTGTCCTCTACCTTTACTGTGTAGAATGCAAACACTGTAGGTGCAGAGACAAGAATCTAGAATAGTGCTTGACACATAGTAGAAGGAGTTCAAATATTTACTGAAAAAATGAATGAGTGGATGGGTGAATTAATATTACATTTCTCTTAACTTCTGAAATATACTAAGCTTTGAGGAGTTTGAAGTATACTGTTGCTCACTGAAGGAAGATTTAGTTGCTTTATTCTAGAGGATAGTTTAGCATGGTCATATAGATGAAAAGCTTTGACAAGGATACATTATAAATGTTTATTGAGCATCCAACACATGTCAGGCTTTATATTAGGTTTAAGAGATGCTCTGAGGAGGGGGGGGGACTGCTTCATACCTGTTATGCACTCAGTTGAGTGAAATATATGTTGAACAAATAATTATGTAAATAAAGGTATAATTATAAGTTGTGATTAATGCAGCCTGTCTTTTGAAGAGAAATGGGCTGAAAGAGAACATAAGGCATGCCTCATCCAAGTTTTTTTCCAAAATCCATTTGGGACTTTTTCTAGCACAAGGATTGAGGAGATTGAAAATTTAAAGTTCTGTACTGCAGAGAGCATGGGCCAAGAAAGAATGTAAAGCAGATGTAATAATTACAAGTGTGTCAATGAATGTTTAATGCCTTTACTGTCTAATGGTACATTAGGCATTGAAAGTATACAGAGATATTTAGAATAAATGGGACAAAATTCCTCCCTTCAAAGAGCATGGTATCAACTTAGAAAATAATTGATACAYGATGGCAGTTATTGACCCCTGGATGTTGTCCATAAGTGTCTTATTTTGCTGTGTTGTGCTCTAAACTTAGCTCCTAAAGGTAAGGCACAGAAATGTAGCACTTGATAGAGATTTTCATAAGTATAAGATAATCTATTGAGGTTGAAATTTCTCCATATTATGATCACATAATCTAAATTGCCAACATCTTATTTGGGTCCTTTAAGAAAAGGAACCACTGAGGTCTGACAAAGTAGTCATGACCAAAGGAGGAAGGAGTCAAGCCTTCTTTATTAATTCAGTAGCTTTGTCAAATGAAACAATTAAGAAACCATGTAGTCAAGGTAGCCCAACCATATGTGCATTCTTACTGCTAGGAATAAATTGCCTAGAGCAAAAATATGTATATTTATCTATGAATAATATTTAGAATAATAATGGCTATCATTTTAAATTTTATTTTTTTTATATATATACATGACTGCAGAATGCATTGTGGCATATTATACTTCCCTGGCGTATAACTTATTCTAATTAGGATCCTATTCTTGTGATTGTGTACAATGTGGAGTTACCCTGGTCATGTATTCAAATCAAGGATAGGAAAGTTATGTCCTATTTTTCTACTGTCCTTCCTATCCCCCTCCTCCTCTCTTCCCTTCATTCTCCTTTTCTAATCCAATGAACTTCTATTCTTCCCCTCCCACCCTCCCTTGTTGTGGGTTAGCATCCATGTCAGAGAGAACATTCAGCCTTTGGTTTTTTGGAAATGGCTTATTTCACTTAGCATGATATTTTCCAGTTCCATCCATTTACTGGCAAATGCCATAATTCCATTCTTATTTATGGCTGAGTAATTTTCCATTGTGTATTTATATCACATTTTCTTTATTCATTCATCTGTTGAAGGATACTTAGGTTGGTTCCATAGCTTGGCTATTGTGAATTGAGTTGCTGTAAACATTGATATGGCCGCATCACTGTAGCATGCTGATTTTAAGTCCTTTGGGTATAGATGGAGGAGTGGGATAACTGGATCAAATGGTAGTTCCATTCCAGTTTTCCATAGTGGTTGTACAAATTTGCACTCCCACCAGCAATGTATAAGAGTACCTTTCTTCCCACATCCTCACCAACATTTATTATTACTTGTTTTCTTTATGATTATGGCTCTCATTTTTTGAGCACTTATTTGTGAAGCACTACTCTAAGCAGTCTTTAGAGTAGTTCATTTTGTCCTGCAGCAAACCTATGAAGATATTATCCCTGTTTATAGATGGAGAATTGAATCATAYACATGTTAGATACCTTGCCCAAGCTAAGAAAGATAGTAAGTGGAAGTGTCATCTTTGATGTTGGGTAGCCTGTGGTGGGAGGGATGATGTGCATTGGTTTGTTTTTTTTTATAGCAGTGATTGTACGTACATACATCCTAAAATGTGAAAAGCCATTCATTCTTGGAAGTTGGGAGAAAATCTACATCTACTTGTATTTATCTTCTCTTTTATTTGTTTAAGTGTAAGAGTTTATATATATTTAAAAATCATGTAAGTTCAATTACTTGTTCAGTCACTTTTTTTCTATCATGATGTGGTTTAATGACTGGCTAACTGGATTTAGAAACCTCACAAATTTCATATTGAAGATAATATTAGTATAAATATAGTCAAATAATAAGAAAATGGTAGAATTGATGCCTCAGAATGGGAAGTCTGTGAAAAATTTAGAATTATGAATTTATTATCAAGATTATTTGAAATATGAATTTTTGTTTATTAATGTTAATGGTAAACTTTAAAAATATATATATATATTTGTTTGAAATACTTATCACTATAAGTATAGAAACCATTGCACAATCTCTCTTTTGTTGTGGAGGATTGAACCCAGGGGTGCTTCACCACTGAGTCACATCACTAGTCCTTTTTATTTTGAGATAGTCTCCCTAAACTGCTAAGGGTCTCATTAAGTTGCTGAGGCTGGCCTCCAACTTGTGACACTTTTACCTAAGCCTTCTGAATTGCTGGGATTATAGGTGTGTACTATCATATATGACCTTTTCATATTCTTTATTTTTTATGACTCAATTATTTAATAATGTTCAATTTTGCAACAAAATTATAAATATGTTTTTTATGAAGTCTACTGGTCTAATATTTCTGATGAAAGTAGTATTTAAATTGAGATATGCTATGAGTATAAATATATATTATAATTCAAAGAGCTAATAATAAAAAAGAATATAATATTATTCATTAATCATTTTATATAAATTATACACAATGAGATTTTTTTCATACACATACAGCACAATTTTTCATATCTCTGGTTGTACACAAAATAGAATCATATCCTTTGTGTCTTCATACATGTACTTAGTGTAATGATGACCATTGTATCCACCGTCTTTCCTACCCCTATTCTCCCTCCTTTCAGCTCTCTCCTCTTTTCCCCTTTGTCCTATCTAGAGTTCATTTAATCCCCCCTCAGCATATTATGAATCAGCATTCTTAAATCAGAGAAATCATTCGGCATTTGGTTTTTTGGATTGGCTAATTTCACTTAGGATTATATTTTCCAGCTCCATCCATTTACCTGCAAATGCCATGATTTTATTCTTTTAATGCTGAATAATATTCCATTGTGTATATATACCACATTTTCTTTATCCATTCATCTACTGAAGGGCATCTAGGTTGGTTCCACAGTTTAGCTATTGTGAATTTTGCAGCAATAAACATTGATGTGGTTGTGTTCCTGTAATATGCTGATTTTAAGTCCTTTGGGGTATAAACCGAGGAGTGGGATAGCTGGGTCAAATGGTGGTTCCATTCCCAGTTTTCCAAGGAATCTCTATACTGCTTTCCAGATTGGCTGCACCATTTTGCAATCCCACCAGCAATGTAAGAGTGTGCCATTTCCCCCACATCCTCGCCAAAACTTATTGTTGTTTGTGTCTTTCATAGCTGCCATTCTGATTGGAGGAAGATGAAATCTTAGTTTTGATTTGCATTTCTCTAATTGGTAGTGATGTTGAACATTTTCTCATGTATTTGTTGATTGTGTATCTTCTTCTGAGAAGTGCCTATTCAGTTCCTTAGCCCATTTATTGATTGGGTTTTTTTTTGTTGTTGTTGTTTGTTTTGTTTTTGGTGTTAAGTTTTTTGAGTTCTTCATATATCCTGGGGATTAGTGCTCTATCTGATGTGCATGTGGCAAAAATTTGCTCCCGAAATGTAAGCTCTCTCTTCAACTCATTGATTGTTTTGCTGAAAAACAAGTTTTTTAGTTTGAGTCCATCCCTTTTATTAATTCTTGATTTTATTTCTTGCACTTTTCATATTCTTGATTGAGTTTTCAAGACATTTGAAAACTAAGTGTGGGAAAAAAGAAAATAGACCTTTTGAATAATTTGAAAGCAACATTATACCAAATGAAAGAAGCCACATATTCAGTGATTCCATTTATACGCAATGTCCATTTGGCAGGTACATGCAGATAGAAAGTAGATTATTGTGCCATAGGGAAATAGGTACTGATTGATAATGGGTACAAAGTTTCTTTTTAGGGTGATAAAATGTTATGGAATTAATGGCAATGATTGCTCAACACTGTGACTATACTAAAAACCACTGAATTTTTTACTTTAAAAGGGTGAAATGTTTGATATGTGGATTATATTTTAATAAACTTAAACAGATTCATTATACCATTAATAATAAATAAGAATTATTTTAAAATATTGTTTATTTAATCTTATAAAATCTTATTTTATTTGATATATCATATATATTACAGCAATGTAGTACTACATATATTTAAGTTTTAGAAATGAGCTCTAAGCCTTTACTTATTCTCCAGCCTCACTTTTCATTCTCTTCTCCTGTCCCCTCCCTCCCTCCTTCCCTTCCTTTCTCTCTCCCTCTCCTTCTTTCCTTCACAGAACTAGGGATTGAACCCAAAGGTATTATACCTCTGGGTTACATTCCCAGCACTTTTTATTTATTTACTTATTTTTGAGGCTGGTTTTTGCTAATTGCCCAGCCTGGCCTGAGTTTGTGATCCTCCTGCCTCAGGTTTGCAGTAACTGGGATTGCAATACCACTGTGCCAGGACTTTTTAAATTTTTTGCTAATCAGTTTGCACACTTTCAAAAAATTTGGAGAGCATTGCTTTACAAAGTAAAGAAAACGTGTTAACATTTTCTTTACCAAATAGTGCCTCATTTTAGCTATATAAGGGGATAATGAAATAGGACAGGATAATGTCTTTTTAGGTGTACAATACTTTAAAGATTTGGATGTATATCAAGCTTCATGGAAAAATCAGAAGACACTGCATAGTTTTGTTCCAGATCCGTTCTCAGTAGAAGGAGTTTTTCAGTCTTCCCATTTATAGCCTAATGTTTATTTCCCAGGGAAGTGAGAATCAAGTTGGGTTGGTTTGTCTCTATCCATTATAGAATATCTCTTGTGCACTGTTTCATGCCAAGCTATGCTAGAAGGTCTTACTTTCCATATATTCAGCCAATATATAATTGCTTTTGACTTAAGCATTTTTCTCTACTCAAATCAGTTGTGACCAGGGCAATCTCAGGGATTTCTTTTGAGATATATGGCAGGGTTCTAGAACTTGAAGAACTTTTTTTTTTTTTTCAGAATAGTATAGAAAATATGGAGAACTTTTTGGAGGCAGTATGATGATATAGGGAAAGCTTTATTCTTTATATTCTTTACAGTCTGAAAACTTTTGGCTTAAATTCTATATTTTTTATAGTCTGAACTTTTGGCTTAAATCATTCACTGTGAAATCTTGGATAAAGGTATTCTGAGTTTCTGGTTTGTTCATCAGTAACACGGGATTAATAATACCTACCTTGTAGGTTAGAATTTAATGGAATAAAGTATCCAAAATGTCTGGCATAGAAGCTGACATGGGAGACATTTTAGCAAATGTTCCCTGTTTGGTACTAAATGGATTAAGAAAATTGTGCATGTTTGCATTTCTAATTCTTTTATATTTCCTTAGCAGTTAAGGAAACTATTTAAAAATCTACCTCAGTGCAGATATTTTCATTTCTCCCATTCTCGTGGTCACTGAAGAGTATTTGTAGCAGAACTATGTAGCTTGTAGAAGCCCAGAAAGATTTAATGAATTCATCAATGTTTTTTTTTAAGAGAGAGTGAGAGAGGAGAGACAGAGAGAGAGAATTTTTTTTTTAATATTTATTTTTTAGTTCTCAGCGGACACAACATCTTTGTTGGTATGTGGTGCTGAGGATCAAACCCGGGCCGCACGCCTGCCAGGCGAGCGCGCTACCGCTGAGCCACATCCCCAGCCCCTGAATTCATCACTGTTATAAAAATTCATGGCAGCATTATCCGAACTTCTGAAATAGAAATTGAAGGGTAGTTGTAGCAAAAAATGTACTGAATAGAAAGAGGTGATTGAAATGCTTTTCTTTTTTAAAAACTATTTTTTAATTGTAAATGGATACAAAATGTTTATTTACTTATTTTCATGTGGTGCTGAGGATCAAACTGAGTGCCTCACACATGCAAGGCAAGTGCTCTGCCACTGAGCTACAGCCCCAGTCCTGAAATGCTCTTCTTGCTTTGCTAACTCAGCTTTCTTAACTTGGGCAGTTTGCAACTCTTAGGCATCCCTACAAGGCAGGGGCATGGAGTTAATTGAATGGTTTGTATGCTTCCTCCATTTCCAAAAAAGTGTTTTTGTGAAAACTAATGCAGGAGTTTTAGGGGAAAAAAAGAAGTATGGCTTCTATCAATGATGGTGACTTTCTCTGAGAATCAGTTATTTTTAAAATAGTGTACACTGCATATACTTTATTTGTAAGAACTTTCTAAATTATTGTGGTGGCCACAATTTTGACATTGATCAAGTTTGGTGTACTTGGGGCAAAAAGGGAAAAGATGGATGCCATAGTGTTCAAACTTAGGGTTTAACATTCCTCCTCCTGCTCCTCCTCTTCCTCCTCTTCTTCCTCCTCCTCCTCTTCTTCTTTTTGTTATTTGTGGTTATTAGTAAGTCAGTTATAAACTGTTGCCTCCTGCATACTCACTAGGGGTTCTGGTTGTTTAACCAAGAAGTAATCACTGCCATGWGCAGGTGGAAAGGAAGTTATCAAAGGCTTCTATTTACTTTTAAAACATATCATTTTAGTCTGAATCAGAATTAGATTAAGAATATTATTCCATAAATTATGAGTAGCAAATGAAAAAGTAGAGTCACAGTGTAATTATAAATGAGTAATTATAAAATTATAATGTCATAATTTAATGAATCTGCATTTAAATTTCTTAATACACCAATTTTATTGGAAATAATGATGAGAAACAATTATAAAAAGTTTGATTATCATCTTTAAATAATTAAGTTCTTTCTGTGATTAAAAAATGGTATATATTATTTTTTCTTAAATCCTAAACTATTTCTGAAAATGATATATTGAGAGATCTAAATGTATAATAATTTACAGTGCATATTTGAAATTTTGTTTAGTATAAAAACAAAAGTCAAGCAGTTTCTAATGTTCTGAAATCAGAAAGTCATTGGTGAATGCTTCAAATTGAATAGTGATTCAACTCATTATCAAAATGTTAATATAATGATATAATATTCTTTCTGCAGGTTTTATTGAAAACTACAGCTGGAGATATTGACATAGAATTGTGGTCAAAAGAAGCACCTAAAGCTTGCAGAAATTTCATTCAGCTTTGTTTGGAAGGTAATTATAATTCTTGAGAAATCATAGTTAGTTTAAAAATAAACTGTAGTGTATTTTTCACAACATTGAAGATTGGTGTTGGATAGTGGTAATGAGTAGTGCGTGTTGATATGAGTGATATGGTCTTGAGCTATGTGTCAGAAAATAGAGAGGGGAGATAACRCTTTTTCCAAAATAAACCTATATGGTTTTAACAGAAATTTATTTTAGCAAATAATACTTTGATCATTTTTTTAATTCTTTAATATTCTAAATACAGATATTTCCTAAGATTGTCTCTAGTTCTGTTGTCTTCACTCTTCTGTTATTACTTTCATGCAAATGGCTCTCACAATTAGAACTCCAGCCATTTCTTCCCTTCTTAGCACCAGTATGGAATGACTTAGTGGACTTTTCTTCTGGAACCTTATAATGTCAGCTACAACTAAACTAATGTAAGACTAAATTTATCAAATTTTTTTTCCCCAGATTGCCTTGACTTTCACCTTCCTTACTGCAGTTGCCTGTTATCTGGTCTTTCTGACTTTCATCTTTAATTTCTTTTTCTTCTATTTAATCTTCTAATATTTGAATTCTCAGGCAGTTTGGCTTCCTAGCTTTCTAATTTTATTTCTCATTGCRTTAACCATGTGGTTTCAGCTATTACCTTTATTTCCTGAACATTTCCTTCTCACTTTCACTTTCCTTACACTTTCATGAATATCCTCATACTGGTTTTCCTTTGTTGTTGTTGTTGTTTAAGAGTGTTTTCTCTTTTCATTTTTTAGTACCTAGCTTTTAATATCTGTTCAAAATTCCAGTTTTTCTGTAGTCTTCCATCTAGCATTCACTAATGTTATTATCAATGTCTATTTTTTTTTAAGATTTGAATCATAAGGTGATGACTTTTCTTTTAAAAATGTTACAGAAATTTACATTCACTTGAGTGTTTTCCACTTCACAATATTTTCTTATCAAACTAAACATTTCTAACATTTTTAGAATGTCTTGTTGGGTTTTAGAATACATTGCATATGGTTTTGAATATCTTTAGTGGTGGCAAATCATAGTCCTCCTAAGTTATATATGATTTTTAGAGAAAATATGTTTTAAAGTATCAGAAAATAGCATTTTGGGCCAGAAACAAGATGTAAAAAGAGAATCCACGGTATCTAGTATTATGGGATAGTGAGAACTCTCCAAATAGATAAATACCAGGAGAAGATTTAAGAAATAAAATTAAAACAAAAAAGACAAAGAGAGAGAGAAGAGAAAGAAGATGTCTGCAAAAACCATTATTAATAATTGTTATGGCAGGCAGGAAGGAAATAGAGTCAGACAGGTAGTTTAGTTAGAGAGGCCTCAAATAACTGTCAACAAAGCTAAGAAGCACATGAGACTCAAAAAAGTCAGACTTGCTTCTGGTAAGAAGTTTTAAAGAATAAAAAGCTCAAATTTTACAGGAGGAGAGTTAAATTACAAAAACATTAGAAAGAATGAATGGTAAATTACAAACCATATCCAGGTAAATGGAAGAAACAGAAAATATCTGGATATAAAATAACAATGAAGAAAAATAATGAGGTTGGTAAGTTGGATGATGAGGAAGCTCAATTATGGCAACAAAAAAATCATTCTCAATTTATAAGAATACAAGAAGAAAGAAAAAAGAATAGAAAAATAGTAAGAAAAATAATCAGAGTAATTCTCTTAATTTAGCAGATAAAAGATTGAATTGTTATTGGAAAGGCTAACAAGAAGCCTGAGAAGAATGATTTGAAAAAGATACTCACAAATGAGTAAAGTCAAGGTTTTAAAAATATAATTCAGAAAACCCCAGTTAGATTCTTTCAAGTTGATTCCTTGATCTTATAACACTCAAATCAATACTATATATATATAATTGTTTAATGTAAAATAGTTAAAGGGAAGATCACAGCCTTTCCCAAAACAAAAGATCTACTATTATACAAACTAAATCTTGGATTTTAGGTCTTTGTAGTATAGTTAGGTGAATATTTATGATGAGAGTAATTTTTAATAAATTGTCAGGTCAAAACTGTATTATAATGAATACCTTTTATAATTTCATTAGTTATCTGAAGTGTAAGGAAGGAATAAAATTAATTTATGCCCATAATATTCATGCCAATATTTTGCCTTGTCTCTTCATGATACATCCTTCAGTTATTTTTATCCTCTACTTCCATTAACAGTAGTTTATTCATTCTTTAGAAGTGAAAAATATAAATGTGTACATTAACATGCCACAAGTTATAAAAGTTTTTTTAATGAAACTAAAATATATGTTTAAAAAAGTACCGGAGAGGATAAAGTAAATAGGGCAGACTCATCACAAATGAACTTTAGATATAAAAAAGTTATCAGTGAAAACAATATGCAAAATTAAACACAAAACACAATTCTATTAGAAAAAATACAGAAAGCTGATATTATAATGCAAATATAAATTCCTGTATGTATTTGGACTGGAAATGTAAATTAGTCAAAACATATCATAAAACCATTGGACAGCCAGAAATAAAAACTGTAATGAGAAATAGTAGAATTACAGTGGAAACATAGGAACTCTGTTTCGTATTTGAGATTCATTTAACTTTGTTTTTTCAATAGTAGATAGCATTCAGGAGGATATTATGAGTATATGTGATAAATTAATAAAGCTTCCTTATTCAAAAAACTTATGAATATGATGCATAAATATAAGAGTAAAATAAACTGAAAACTGCAAAATCTATTATAACACATGGTTTGCTTCCAGAACAACTTTAAATTCATAGTGCAACAGCAATTATTAATAAGTTATAGGGAAGTAGAAATAGTAGATATAAAAAATTTGTGTAAATTGGACATGCCAACCATGATATAACACAAAATTATGGTGTAAAGATTCTAGAAAATTTATACTCATTTATATATGATATTATAAAATTTTATGCATTCCACAAGAATATGATTGGGAAAATTTTAAAGAAAACCTTAAAAGAAAAAGCTGACATCATGAAAGACTTAATAAGAAGTAAGGAAAAAGAATAGGATGGCATAATTTAAAATTTGAAGACACAGGTAACAAAGACCTCTTTCGTCTCCCACTTCCCTCCGCTGTAATATATATATGGGTCTTATATATCCTGCTTTTTAAATGTTTTGACTTGGGATAATAGGGTGTTTGCACATGAGCTCTATTTCTCTGATTTGTATTCTGAAAACAATAATCCAGAGTTTGAGAGAATCTTGGAAATAAAAACAAAACAACCACTACCAAGGTTTCTATTGAAGCATGTGCTGTTTTGAAAGTAAATACTTTATAAGAAGTAGAGAAAAAAACAGTTTTGATTTGGAAACCTATTTAACATTCTGGAAAATAAATCGTGTGATTCTARTGACATATTAATTCTGATAACCATAGATAACACTTAATTTTAGAAATTGATAAATTATTTAAAAACTTTTTTTTTCAGCTTATTATGACAACACCATTTTTCATAGAGTTGTGCCTGGTTTTATAGTCCAAGGGGGAGATCCTACTGGCACAGGGACTGGCGGAGAGTCTATCTATGGAGCCCCATTCAAAGTAAGACTGAATTACTATTATCATTATTATTTTGCAAGTCAGCTTGGATTGTTTAACTGAAGATGATTGTGCTCCACAAGAATAAAAATAATTTCACATTAGTATACAAAACCAACTGTCATTTAGAATCATGCAAGGATAAGAGCAACACTTACCCTACCAAATATTCTTTCTAAGTTGTCTTATTGCAAGCTTTTATGTTAGATTGAGTACAGGTAGAACTAAAGATGATAGTGAAAATAATGTGATTCATAAAAAAGACCATATAACATATTTTCTGATGTCTGACTTTTTCTAATCTTTGCATCTCTATAAATATAAAGCATTTTTAGAATACTGCATATGCTATTTTATTTTAAAACAATTTACTTAAATCCTTTGGAATCTTAGAGTTGTTTGCTTAGGCTGCTATAACCAAATAYCACACACTGTGTGACTTAAACAACAAAAGTTTATTTCTGATGGTTCTGTGGGGGCTGGGAAGTCCAAGATCATTATGTCTGGCAATTTGGATCCTGGTGAGGTGTTTCCCTGGTTTGTATTTGGCTTTCCTACTCTGAGGTCTCACATAGGGCAGAGAGAATGAACTTTGGTGTCTTTATCCTCTTCTTGTAAGGACATGAACCCTTTTGGGTTAGGGACTCATCCTTATGACCTCATCTAACCTTTATTGCCTCCTCCCAGACCCAAATGTAGTCATATTGGGGATTAGGGCTTCAATGTAAAATTTTTGAGGGAATACAGTTCAGTCTCACTTAGCAAAATTTATTTTCAATTATACACAATAGTCTCTAACACAGAATGCATGCCACAATGGGAAACCACAAGGAGAATAGAAGAAGCAACATAAGAAAGCTTTATAAAAAGGTATATTAGTTAAGAGTAAGTGAGAAATTTCTTAATTGCCAACACAGATCTAAGAAGAAAAAGAATATCATACTGAAGAAATTAAGAGGCCAGGGGAATAGCACATTGGTAGAGTGCTTGCTTAGCATGCATGAGGTGCTGGGATTGATTCCCATTATTGAAAAACAAAACAAAGTAAGGAACAGTAGAGGGTTTAAGTAAAAAGCTAAAAATTGTGTTTGTTATTAGTCTGATGGTACCAACATTAATTCCTTTGGGTGAGTAAAAATTAATAGTTCTTAAATAGGGGAATTTATAAAGAACTTTGTGTTTGTTCTAATGGGGTAGAGTATCTGGAGTCTCCTTTCATCTTTTACTGGGTCATAGTCTGATGTATGATTCTTGAGCAAAATAGTAAAAATTTTGCTTTAATTTCTAGATAATGATCTTAGAAAATGTGAATGGTTATTAAAAAAAAACTCAGATGTAACTGTTAAGACTATTTTATATTTTACTAAGGTGAAATGTCTCATGGTTTTAGAGCCTACATTCTTGTAGGAAGCATTCCTTTATTCTATTATTTGGTGTAACAGAATAGCTCTTTTTGACAGTTCTTTCCTAACTTGAAATCTTTGTTTTGTTATTTTCAGTTAGGTCATTTTAAACACATTATTCAGAGTTATGATGCATTGAGTTCAGATCTCTTAAGAATTATTCATTACTTCTTTTATGACAAGTATTGATTACATAACATGCTATATAACATATGATTCCAGTATCAGGTCTGGATGCAAATTATGTTAACTCAGAGACTAAGGAATCTGTTAAGTAGTCCTATAAAAACAAGAAAACTGTCGGACCAACCTCCCACAGTGGTTGGGGAGAATCACTAGACTAGCTAGTGAGTGTCTCCKGGCTGAGCGAGAGGGTGAGTGTTGCGACCTGGCCCGCCACCCTGCCTGGCAAAAATCACACAGAGTCGGGAGTTGAGTCAGCCGAGATGGCACAGCAACTCAGTTTATTGTGGAGGGAGAGGACTTATATAGAGAGAGGAGAAGGGAGGTGGGGGCAAAAGACAGGGGCCAATCAGAGATCAGAGTGTCCCCCAGATTGGGGTAGCCTAGGCACTCCAGTTACAGAAACAGAGCCCCGTTACCCTAGTTACAGAAACAATACCCCATTAGGTATGTGTGCCCCGTTGCTGGGGAGTTATTCTTTATGTTTGCGGAAGCCATATCTTGGGGCTGTTCAGGCATGTATATGGAAGCCATTTCTCAAGCTCTCTCTGTCAGGTACATGGAGAATCACAAAACCAGAATCACAAGACTGGGGATTTCCCAACAGTGGTTTTTCTTCCTCTTTCCCAGCGATTGCATTTCCGTGGTCAGCCGAGGTCCCAACAGAAAACCACTTTAGAAAGGCTTTTACCTGCTATTTTGAAAACTGGCAAATGAGTTCAGTACCATGTAAGAGAATATTTAACTTAGGACTGTGTCAAATCACATTAGCACTATCCTGGTAGATTCTTTGAATCAAAAGAAGAAGAGGAAGAGGAAGAGAGGATTATTTCTTGACATTTAAAAGAGTTTAGGAGGAGCAATAGCTGAAGACTTCACAATGGTTCAAAGCTGAATTCCTTGGAGAAATAATAGGTTTTAAAAGTTTTGATGATTTTGACTACGAAAATAAGGAAATGAATCTTAGAAATCTATTCCCCTTTGAATGAGTTCTTTGCTCTATGTGTACGTATGCAACTTTCCACAAAATAGGCTGTATTTATGTCTGAGTATATTTAGAAGACACAGGCTAGTGAATTCAAGTTTAAGAGTACTGAATAGTAAATTTTGGATTTGATTATACTTGAAAATCAGTTAAATAAAACTTTAGCAATTTTTTATTAGACATTATATGGGACCTTGCTGGTTAGCTGCATAATGATTGAATATGAAATGAAGTATCTTGTAACTGAGAACATTCACTGAATTGTTTTTTTATGCTTCAGGATGAATTTCACTCACGGTTGCGTTTTAATCGGAGAGGACTGGTTGCCATGGCAAATGCTGGTCCTCATGATAATGGCAGCCAGTTTTTCTTTACACTGGGTCGAGCAGATGAACTTAACAATAAGCATACCATCTTTGGAAAGGTTTGTGTCCTGTTGTCCTAAACCTGTGATTTGGTTTTTGGTTTTATGTGATTCTTTAGGTTCTGTGACAGATATGATGAATTTATCTAACAGCTGCCTTCATGAAAATATCCCTTGAATTGATTTATTATTTTAAAAAATGATGGAATATGTTCCTATTATAATGAACTTTAGAAGACTTGTGAATTCTTTATCATGTTTCAAGTCAGTTGTTTGTTATGAATTTAATGTTTCTGTCCTTAAAAATCATACTAATGGTATCAGCTACCATGCCATTCAGCAATGATGTTTTTTACATTTTTAGAAAGATACTTAGGGGCTGAGGGTGTGACTCAGTGGTAGAGTGCTTAACAAGCATGTGTGTGAAGGGCCTGAGTTCAATCCCCAGCACTGAAAAAAAAAGTCACATAACACTAGTTTAAAGTTTACTTTATTAATGGTAATTTTATTAATTCCCTTTAGTTTAAAATAGAAGTTGATATTGAAAGCTTTTATTGGAAATGTTACTTTGGATAGTACTAATTTAATTCTGCTCACATTTAATGCCTTTCAGGGCATATCCTTTCCATAGAATTTTCAATAATTCCCAATAAATAGGTATCCTGAAAGTTTTCTTCTTTCATTCTTCTATCTTCTCATAAATATATTCCTATACATTTTAATTTTTAGACCTATTAGATACCTCTAGCTTATTAGCCCCCTGTATTGGTTTAGTAAGAATTGGTTTCTCAGATCCTAGGCAAAACTGGATTTTGTGATGATAAAAGAGGAAAAAACAAACAATACAATTGAAAAACTATATCTTGGGAAATGTTGAATTAAAGGAATCACATTAAAATCATGAAATGTAATTAGTTGTCTTTTTTTTTTTTTTTTTGATGCTAGAGATTGAACCCAGGGCCTTATGCATGTGAGGCAAGCAAGCATTCTACCAACTGAGCTATATCCCCAGCCCCTGTTGTCTAATTTTTAACACTATGTTTAGAAAATATAGATTAGCCTATTCTTTCAAGACACTCCCATCTCAGGTTTTCTAATGACCATAGATTTTTCCTCCATATTATTTTTTACAAAAAAATAGTGTAATAGGGGCTGGGATTATAGATCAGTGGCAGAACACTTGCCTCACACATGTGAAGCACTGRGTTTGATCCAGCACCACATAAAAATTGAATAAACCTGGCTGGGGTTGTGGCTTAGTGGTAGAGTGCTTGCCTAGCATGTGTGAGAGGCACTGGATTTGATCCTCAGCACCACATAAAAACATAAATAAATAAAAAAAAGGCATTGTGTCTATATACAACTAAAAAAAATTCTTAAAAATAAATAAATAAACGAAATAAAGATATTGTGTCCATGTATAATTAAAAAGCTTTTTAAAAGAGTGTATAATAAAATGATATTTAAGTTACATTTGTACTATCTTTTACAAATGATACTGTATAATTTATACATTAGTGAAAAAATTTAGCAAAGTGGTTATAAGTTRGAAAAGCCACTATTGTTGGCTCTATAACCTCTTTGAGTCTCGTTTTTTTTAAATATAGAAGAACAATAATGATTGTTATTATTAGTTAGCTGTTTATGTGGATTGACTGAGGTGTCTGTTTAATGTTTATCACATTGTTATTACTTACTTACCCTCTTACTCTAAAATATAATTTTGTGTATGATGTTTGAAAACTTGTCATTCAATAAGATGGTAATTGGAATTACATTTTTAATTTTAGTAAAAGATGGTACTAAGTACATATTGGAAATTTATCCAAAAGCCTAGCGAGAGATTGAACCCATCTGTGCTTTTCTCCCTTAAAATGAAGTCACCTTATTTGCATTATGTTTAATACATATATTCTTATGGAATAATATGAAATTATTTTTTATGTATGTATGTATATTTTTTAGTAGTATATGGACACAGTACTTTTGTTTTATTTATTTATTTTTATGTGGTGCTAAGGATTAAACCCAGTGCCTCACACATGTTAGGCAAGTGCTCTACCACTGAGCTATAATTCCAGCCTCTGAAACTCTCTTTTAACTATTTACAAAGTATTTACAAAAGTCCCCTAATTCAAAGGATAAATAAATATATTTGCAATTACATTTTATATTTTTATTAGGTTACAGGGGACACGGTATATAACATGCTGCGACTCACAGAAGTAGATATTGATGATGACGAACGACCACGTAATCCACACAAAATCAAAAGTTGTGAGGTAGGAGCATGATTATTATGAGATATGGGACTTCAATTGCCATTTAAGAGGAGTTGACTTAATATGTTTAAACTACTGGATGATGGTTTTGTACTAAATACAATGATTCACTTATGTATTTAGGCACAATTTATGATTTAAGAATTTTTTAAAGTAAAAAAGTAAAGGTTTTGAATTCTAAGATGAAACTTTATATGATAGTCCAATGAATGAAAAACTCATGTTGGAAAGTTGGAGGAGTTAGATTTATTTTAGCCTAAAGAAATGACTTCATAGTTAAAGAGTTATTTTTTATGAAGGGAGCAAGGCCCTTAAAAGCATTTGATTTGGAGTCAAAATGTCTGAGTTTGTTTCTCTTACTGTGTGTCATTTACATTTTCCTAAGTATTTTTCCTTTTGTAAAACAGAGATAAGACAGAATATCCTTTACTTAATAGCACATAGGTTTCTTGGAAGAATCCAGTGAGACCACATAAGTGGAAGTACTTCAAGTAGTAGATCTATCACTATGCTAATAATATTTATGGGGGGAAATATGGACACTTTTGATGCAATTAAATATTGGTTTTTTTGGAGTGAAGTTTAAAAAATAGAATAATGTTTTCAACATATTTCTTTTCATAGGTTTTGTTTAATCCTTTTGATGACATCATTCCAAGGGAAATTAAAAAGCCCAAAAAAGAGAAACCAGAAGAAGAAGTAAAGAAATTGAAACCCAAAGGCACAAAGTAATCATAGTAGAAACATTTTTCTTCAACTGGGAAAAGCAACACTAATTTATTTAGTTTTTCTATTTCCTTTTATATTAATTGTTGATTAGCAAAGGAAAGACTCCTTTGAACCAGGGAGGTATCATAATATAAGTCTATGGCTTTTTTTAAATGGGCATTTCTTGTATTTAAGTACATTATATAGCTTTAACTTAAACTAAAAATGTATCATTTCAGATGTCCACATAAAATCTGTGTTAATAAATACATAAGTGCCTTGTGTTCTCTATACCAATTATTTATATAAATTATTTGAGAAACATTTTTGCTTTCTTTTAAGTTAATATATGCTTACTTAGTATAAAGAATTTGGAGAGTATAAAGAATAATATAAAAAATATTTGTAATCTTATTACATGATTGTATAATATCTTTAACTTTTTGACTCCTTTTTTAGATACTCTTAAAAATAATCTTATTATAAATGTTTTAAAAATACTATTCTAGATTCAGTATTCTAGATTATTTACTGAAGACAGTCTCTCCAAAAATAAATTTTTTTAAAAAACAAATTTCAATAGTTTGTGTTAATATTCTTTACATTATTATCTGTTTTATTAAAGCAGATACTGGAGAATTAAATTTCAACCTACTCCTTTACTGAATTATAACATTCTTTTTAGAGATTTTATTGTACTTAGGAATGTTAGATTCAGACAACTCTATGTTTAATCCCATCAAACACAGTTGATAAGAATTGAAGTTTATTAATTGTTGTAAGCTTCAGTTATCTCATCATGTAAAAATGGTGCTTATCATAACTATAACATCTGGTTGTTAAGAAGATTAAATGGAAAGGTCTATGTGAAGACACCCTATAAGTGTTCAATACACGTTAGTTTCTTTCCTTTATATCCTACAAAATAAAGTAAACTAAATTGCTTCTATAAACTCTCAGACAGGACTAGGCACTTTAATAAGCAGTTTAGACTTTGTGGCAGTGTAACTTTTATTCATAGCTATATATTGGATTTTCTTTGTTCTTTGATTCTTTTATTTTGACTAATTTATCTCTGGATGAAAGGTCATTGTCACTATATTTATATATAGTCTGTCAGCACTATAATTACCTTGACAACAATCTCAAAAGGTTTTTTTGTGTGTTTTATAGTGTTTTGTTTTTATTCATAGCATATAATGTTAGGATGATATTGTTGTCATTACTTACATCTAGATTTTAATGTGAAGGATCAGAGTAGAAAGACTTAGTTTTTTTCTCCCTTGGACACACATACACAGATAACACACACATATATACATATATATGTATATATAAYCTGACAATTTTATGTTTCTGATTAATTTTAAAATATTAAAATATATTTTGCCAAATACAAGAATAATTGCTACTTTATAGTGCTCTCAGGTCTGTAGATTTATTAGTTTTTCAGAAATCTTCATTTTGCTACTAGTTTTGATAAACATCAAAAATTTATTTCTGTTATACTTCACTCAGTATATATGGTAATGTTCAGGATTTTTGGTCATTAGTTTTATATATGTAATATCAATGGTCTGAGTCCAAAAGCCTTTAGTGAAAATTATAGATGCTTAGGATACTTCTGCTGAAGACTAAATAATATTCTGTTCTTTAAAAAAATGTATTTTTTCTTGCAAATTCTGTCCTATTACTTTAAAAACAGGATGTTTATGAGTTTTAACTTTTTCTAATTTTCTCTCTTTTATGCTTTTTTTATTCTTTTCTTTTTTGACTAGAAATTTTAGTTTACTTTCATTTGGAGAAGAAGCTGAGGAAGAAGAGGAGGAAGTAAATCGAGTTAGTCAGGTAATTTCTAATTTGTCCTTTCATCTGAATTACAAAAGAGATCAGAATGTACTTCTTCGTCATTTTTATATCTCCTACTTCTGCTGTACTTGGAACAGTACGTTTTACATGGTACACACTCAAGTCAGTTTACCTTGGATGCTTTGTAAAATAATTGGTGGTCAGTAAAATAACTTTTGAATTGATTTGCCTTCTTAAAATTGTTGAATTTTTTCTTTATTTTTAATATTGGCATTTTTCTAGCAGTTAAAACTAGACCTGAAGACTTTTGAATTGTTCAACTTTGTGATTCAGATTTTAATTTCTACTTGTTTGGTTTGCTAGATGATAATGATTATTACCATTTTTATAATAGTCACAGGCCAACTCATTTTCATATCAATGTTACTTGCATATATTTTGTTTGCTTCATTAGTTCTCATCCAAGCCTTTTGAAAGGTGTAATTATTACCTCATTTTAGGTTATAATTTGCTCAAAATCACATAAGTCGTAAGTAGCTGGAAATTGAACTCAGGTCCAACTATAAAATCTGTGTCTTTAGATTGTATGTTGTCTCTTGGCCTTTTACTTCACCAATCCTTCCAGTTCTAACTGTGGTTTTCCTTTAACCCACTTTTATCACAAAACAAATTGCTGAAAGGCCTGCAGTCTCTTACCATTGTTTGGATTAAGTTCAGGTATATGTGCCCCAAGAAAATCACCTTCATAGGGATTTTACTCCCAAAGGTTCTGCTATGGCTTCCTTTCTTGAATGTAATTTAGTACTGCGGCCTCAATTCAAAATCATTATCATAGTAATCATAACTTAGTTACTTCATACTGCCTTAGTTACTTGACATAGTCACCTATTTATTTTACCAACATTAATAATAGTATTGACTTAGAAGTACATTATTTTTTTTAATCTTTTTTTTATCCTTGTTTTTTCTTCTTTATCTCTGTGCTTCTTTTATTAGTGATCATGGTTTGGGGAGATAAATATTTTTAATGTTGGGCACATTTATACTCCTTGCATTAAAATTAAATTAAAATGGGATTTCTCTCTCTCTCTCTCTCTCTCTCTCTCTCTCTTTTTTTTTTTTTTTGGTACTAGGGATTGAGCCCAGGGGTACTTAAGCACTGAGCCACATCCCCAGCCTTTTTTAAAAAGTTTTTTAAAATTTTTTATTTTGAGACAAGGTCTTGCTAAGTTATTAGGGACTTGCTCAGTTGCTGAGGCTGGCTTTGAACTTGTGATCTGCCTGCCTTAGCCTCTCAAGTCACTGGGATTACAACAAGTGTGTATCACCACACCCAACTCATAAGTTTTGTTAATCTTTACTGTGTCTTTAAGGAATCTGTTAGATACTTTTGATTCAGTTACTACCTCCAGTATACCAACATTCTAAATTCTCGGAGATAAAGATGGATATTTTTTCTGAATTCTTATCCATTATTCTAAGCAGCTTTAGGAAATGTCTCCATATTAGATGTCAAAACTAATTTCATTTCCATGAAAATAGGAGATCAGTGGAGAAGAGGAAAGGGATTGAGGGGGAAGGAAGAGGTACAGGAAAAGGGAAAAACTGTGGGATGAATTCTGGCTTAACTTTCGAATGTACATATATGAATATACCACAGTGAATCTCATCATCAAGAAAACCCATAAATAAATAGCAGAAAGATCAGTAGAATAGAGGGAGAGAAACTGGGGGAGGGAGAAGGAAGGGGAAGAGGGAAGCACTGGGGTCTGAATAGGAGGGTTTATATTCCATGATTTTATGATTATGTCAAATTATGTCAAAACAAACCCTAATATATGTATAGCTAAAAGGAAATAATAAAAAAATTTAAAAAAACTAAATTTATTTTTACATGAAAACCTTTCCCTAGTCCATATAAATATCATGAATCACTGCCAACTTGATATTTCAGGAATTATCTTCTGTAGATGTCAATGAACTAGTTTTGTATTGTTCATAATTCAAATTTGCATCTTATCAAAATAAAATATTTACTATATGCCATGTTTTTTTAAGTATATATGTGAATGGACACAACTATGGATGTTAGTTCCTGGAATTACCAGTATTCCTTTATATTGATGTCTTCTGAAGATATCAAATTGCCTTGCATCCACCATTGCCTTCTCATAGTAGTAACTCCACCCCTGTTTTCCCTTTAGTCTGGAGTATGCACTCTTATTCTTTTTTTTTTTTAATCTCATTTTTCTGTCTTAAGATTAGCTTCGCTATTACCTCATAATTATTTCTACCTCCCTCCTTGTTATGGTTTAGATATTAGGGTATTCCCCAAAAGTTCATGTGTGAGACAATGTAAGGTTTAGAGGTGAAGTGATTAGGTTATGAGCTTGTTAATCTAATCAGTGCAATAATTCCTCTGTAAGGATTTAACTGAGTGATAGCTATAGACCCAGAGGATGTGGAGGAGGTGGGTCCCTAGGGGCAGGTTTTGGGCATATATATTTGCTTCTTATTGAGCAGTGCTCTCTCTGATTCCTGGTGCTATGCTCCCAGCTACTTTCCTATGTCATACTCTCTACTGTCATGACATCCTGCCTTACCTCAAGCCTCGAAGAATGGAGTCGGCCATCTATGAACTGAGATCTCTGAAACCTTGAGCCTGCAAATAAACTTTTCCTCTTCCAATTGTTCTTGTTAGGTACATTGGTCACAGCAATGAAAAAACTGACTGAAATCTCCTTCACTGAACTCCCACTCAGGTTGAGCTAAATACTTCTTTTTGTGATAATCTGTCTATGCCATCAAAATATTTATTATACTTCATTATAATGATTTATTTTTCCATCTTCTAACTGTGCTAAATATTTATTTATATATTTCTGTAAAAATCATATTGTATAGACTTTTTAAAATTCCCATTATATAGATAAAGAAATGAATACTTGGGTTAAAATTGTTCAAGAACATGTAATTAGGAAGTGATGGAATCAAAATTTTGAACTTAGATTTTTGAAGCTTTTTAAGTCTCTAATTTGAATGTGAATGCTGTAAAAGCTGTCTCCTGAAAGGCTAAAAGGCTGCTRAGAAATTTGACTAGTAGAACAGAATCCTGAGGTAGAAGGCAACTGTGCAGCACAGTGGCTGACCACCTGCCCTTCCCCAACTCCCATAGGGTCCTTAATAATCCGTTGAGCAGGCTTGGAAATCAGGGGTGAGAAAGCAGTTATTTTATGAATATTTGTTTTGAAGTTAAATTTCTGGTCTAAAGAAAGTTTTGATCAGAATTACTTTGACTTAACTAGGAAATTAGTTTGATTCTATGTAACAGCAGCATGTGTTAATGTTCAAAGCTTATCTTCTTTCTGCTGCTTCCTATTGTGTCAGTTAGAAAAAATGATATATTTAATTTGATTTATTTTGAGAACTTTCACTCCAAAAACAATTTGTGTTTGCTGTTAAGACTGCACTGTGAGAGAATACCATGAAGATAATGCTGGCTTGCTTTTTATTTTCACTCTTCAAACTGAGACAAACACTTTGAATGGTATAGAAAGACTAAGTAAAGTCTTTCCTTTCTGCCAAGAAAATTACAACCCACAGTTCATTATCAAAGGAGCATCATTATCCTAGTATTGTGTCATTGTTATTTCTCTCAGTTGACTCTTTAACAGGAGTGCAGGGTGCTGTGTGATAAAATGATCACCACACATCTATATTTTAAGACTTGTTTATTCTTCTTTTCCCTGGCTGCCTACTGGATACCTTTCTATGTGAATATGTCACTAGTTATCCAAGTCCTGGCCAAGGCTTACTTCCTTATCTTTTCTTCCCATACTTCTTTGTTTTGTAACTCCTCTTTCTATTCCCTGGTGTCAGTATCCTCCAAAGAACTTTAGATTCAGTTCTGACTTTTGTCTTTTTCTCTGTATTACCAGTTAGTTGCACTATTCTAGCAAGTTTTCACCAAAGCAATATCTCAGATCCATTTTTTTTTTTTTATCTGCTACTATCCTTATTCGGGTCCTCCATATCTCTAGTCTGAACTGCTGTATTATTCTACACACTGCTCTGCTGTTCCTTCCACTCATAGCTATCAGAGTGGCCTTCCTGAAGCTTAATATGTTACTGTTGCTCTCTGCTGATTATAAAAATAAGACTAAATTTCTTGGCCTGTTATTTTCAAGTCTCTACTTTTCAGGACTCTCCTTCACCAACTTGGCCCTTTTATCTATCACTTCTTAAACTTCTCTGGTGATAAAATAACTTGTGCTACCTTCTAAAAAACAAGATTCTTAGGTCCCATCTCATATCCCCTCAATCAGAATTTCCAAGGAAGGGGCCTGGGAAGCTGGACTTTTTTTATAAGGAATTTTCCTGGAATGCATGACAGGAAAATGTAGGAACTTTGCAGTAGCAGATTTGATTGGCCGATATTCTGCATTTGTGCCTTCTTTCTCTCCCACTTCTTTTATGCCTTTGGTCTTTCCACTGTATAAATTGTCCAATTGTCCCATCCAACCTCTGGATATCAAAATCATATTTATTTTCAAACACCCAATATACTATTTTTCTAAGTGTCTTTTAGGTTTTTCCTAATCTTTTTCTAATTTAATCTAGGCCTCTTTGTATTCCTTTATATTTTCCTTTTAAAAACCTCTTTTCCCCCCCATTATCATTACAAGAAGCATATGWCTGTGTTCTCATTTTATACTACTCTAACATCATGCACTTTATTCTCTGCCTTTTTAATTGCATAGAGTCGTGGGCCAAGAGCTCGTTGGAGGTAGATTCTGAGTCATAAATGAATGACAGTGTGTTGGAATCAATTTGGTTTGTGATCATACAAACCATACTGAAGCTTCATTTCTCACTGACACTATGTGATTTTGAATAACCTAGTCTTTCTGAGTCTCAGTTTTTCTTTTTGCAGTATAGAAATAATATGTACTAGGTAAGATTATGAGATAAGGAGGTAGATAATCATTATTTTGCTACATTACGAAATCTTGAAAAAGTCTTTGAAAGTCAAATATCTT